AGAGAAGTCCTTAGAGAGCTTCTAAGCTTGGGCCAGCAAGATGATTTGACCCAGCCAAGTCTGGTGACCTGAGTTCAGTGCCTGGAGCCCACATGGTGGGAGCTAATTCCTGTGGGCTGTCCTCTGACATCTCACCCATACCCGCAAATGCACACACTCATGCTCCCTCTCCCTCGCTCCCTCCCTCCCACTCTCCCTTCTTTCTCTCTCCCTTTCTCTTCCACACACACGTTCTTACACAAATACAAAAATGTAAAAGGAAACAGAGAAAGCTTTCAGGTTGTGGAGAGCACTCAGGAGAAAGGCTATTTGGGAGCAGGAAAGGAGGGGCTCCTTGCAGGTGGGGAGAGCTTTGAAGGGTGAGGCCTGTTGTCAGGCAGGTGGGACTTGAAGAAGGAGCCAGGGGTGAGGAATTCTTGGCACCTTCCTCTGCAGGGACAGGAAGCTGAGGTGTCACGGGTCCTATTTATAAAGTGAAGGGTTAGGGTTTCCCTGCCCATTGTGCTAGACAGCCACTGTGGTACTTGCAGGAAGTGCCACTGCTTGGTGCTTTATCTGTGAAGTAGAGGCAGGAGCCCTTCCTGCTTGGGATGCTGCAGTTGCTTCCACAGTAAGCAACCATGTCAGCTCTGGAAAATCTTACAACTCCCAGTTGTTAAAATGCAAAGTAAAAAATGTATAAACATTCCTGTCCCCGTAAGAAACCGACCTGTCTTGAAGCAAGCCTCATCCCATCAGGATGAAGCAAGATGAGAATGGTCTTGATGCAGCGGAAGCCACACCATGTGGGGACTGTGTGACAGCTACAAAAGCCACATGTGCTCCTTGATGCCTGGGGTAGCAGCAGGTGGGGATGGAGCCAGGAGCCCAGGGTCCCTGGGTGTCGTGTTGCTAGGCTGAAGCCAGTCAACAAGGCAGGCGCTGTAACGGACCTTGTTAAGTCCTTGCAGGTTTCAGGAGGGCCTGTGGCTCCCAGACATCAGGACCACGCTCTCCAGCCTTTCCAACATCCTCGTTCGTCCTTTAGGCCACTGAGCCAAGCTGAGAGGATGCCATGTCACAAAATAACTGTCCAGTGTCATGCTTTCACTCGGCCTTTTCTCCCTCTCCTTAGACGTCAGTATGGTGGCTTCTGTAAGGTCTCTAGGAATTTCAGTTCAGAATTTGGCCCTTTTGAACCTTCTCATACCCTGGCTTAGAAATACCCACACGTAGCCCGAGTGCAGATGTGGAGGGAGGGAATTACTTACTAGCTTTGTAGAGGAATCACAGCCAGAGGGACCACAGCGTACTACAACCTCTAAAGCAATGAATGAAGACTCAGCCTGGGGAGATGGCTGAGGGGGAGGCCTTGTTATCATGCCTGATGATCTGAGTTCAAGCCCCAGGACGCATGTGGAGAAGGAGAAGACTGGTTCCCCTGTGCACCCCCTGCACACACGAAGGAAAAATAGCTCTAAAAAGAGAAGTTATTAAACATGGGCGCTTCTGATTTTGAGTGTAGTTTCTGGGATTGTGGAGACAGCCCTGGGCTCTCAGGATCATACCTAAAGAGCTCTCTCCTTCTGCCCCTCCAGGGAGAAGATAGCCTACTTCACACGCGCGAAGATTAGTATCCCGTCCCTGCCAGCTGATGACGTGTGACCGCGGCTTGCCGCTGCTCCTCGCCTGGCCACTTTCCAACAGAGGGTCAAAGACTGAACATTTACTTTGTTGTTGTTGTTTTTTATTTTGTGTTGGGGGCGGGGCTTTCATTTCCTGTAACATAAGTGTCAACTCTTGAAGAACTTTCGTTTCACACCAGTTTCATCAGGTTCATTTGTAAAGTACTTTGAATGTAACTCTTACATGCTTTGAGAAGAAAAAAAAAAAAACAAAATCAACAAAAATGGGGTAACCTGGTCCACAAGTGCTGTATGAGTGTGTTACCACTGAGCTTCACTACAGAAGGGAACAGTGGTGGCGAGTGCCCGGTCTTCACCTGCTGAGCCGACAGCAGGGGGCAGCCATCTGGCAGCCCGTGAGACTGGTGCCCCCCCCCCCCCCCGGTGCCATGGCATACCCCTGAGCCAGAAAGCCACACTTGCCATCGAAAGCATGGCCCCAGGTCCACCTAGAGCAGGTGCCCTGGTCCTTCCGTCACCTGTGCCTGACCACCTTGTTTCTGCCCTCTTAAACTCATCTAGTGAAAACAAACATATGAGATGCCGAGAACAAGAGCGTGAGGAGTAAAGGGCCACCCCTCCTGTAGAGAGCTGTGACAGGGCCGGGGGGCACCAGCTACCCAAACACCACTAAGGAAACTCAGCAAATGCTGAGTGGCCGATGCTTCCAACACAGGCCGGATCTGCAGGGCTCCCTGTCAGTTTCTGGCCCACACAGGGCCTTGTCCTAGGGATGAAGACGATGCTGAGAAGCACGTGGTTTCCCCAGGCTCTGATGACAGTGCAGGCAGTGTGGGGGGACTCACCGTGTTCATTTAGGTGGGAACTGGGAACAGGGCGAATCTTGGTGAGATCAAACTTGCCAACCAGAAGAGAGGGTATCAAGGTTTCTACGCTCGCCAGAAATTAGGGAACAGCTGTCATCTTCAGGGGATTCTGTCAGTGAAGCACAGACAGTAGCTGGAATCTGAAACAGAGGGTGTACCTAAGGGACTCGGTGTGGACCGGATCATTTGATATATATATATATATATATATATATGTGGTGAGCAAGCAAGCTTAAGATAGAAATTGGTCCAAGTGTTCTGTTCTCTAGGATAGGTCTTAACTTACCAGACCCAGGCACTTCTTTAAAAAAAAAGGGGGGGGCTCAGCATAGCTTTGCCAGCATAAAAGTGTTAAAATACATAGTGTTTAGGTAACTTAAACCGTACTTACTCAGTCTGTCATACTGGAAGAAGCCGTGTTTTGGTGAGCCATCTTATATAGCAAGCTAAATTATTTTTATTTTTTTAATGCAAAATAATTTTATAGAAATTAAAAGAAGGCAAGAAAAAATCTGTTAAAAAAAAAAGTTATGTTATGCTGGAATCCCTATCCGTAAGGATTTTTATTGTCTTAAATCTATGCATATTTTAGAAAGTTCATTTTCATCAGAATCAAAGTTTATACTCAGCCAGAACATCAGTTATCAAGTCATTGTGCCTAAAACGTACTCATTTTCCCCCTGAATGTTCTACAGCTTATATCCAACCTCTTAGAAGATGTAACTGGACTCAACACTACTTGGAGCAAAAAACAGAGAAGTGTTAGTGGCGGGCTGAGTACAGTCCTCCCAGGCTGCCCAGCTTGCCCCCACCCCGGGTGACTGGAGGAAACTGGCTGCCATCCATTCCTGTCAAGGTCAAATGTCACCAGCAGAGGTTTACTCAATATAGCTCTAAATGAAGGTCAGCTGGCCAGCAGCATACTTTGACCCATGAAAATGTTGATAGAATCTTGTTGAGTTGTACCGTACGATTTTATTTTCTTCATTTATTTATTTACAGTCTTATTTATGTTCTGTTTAATATATAGTTTGGTTCTGGCCATCTTAAATGTTGGGCTTACAAGAGGCTATAATGGAGTATTTACAGCTTTATGATCATCAGATTTATTGCTAACTTTTTGTAATACAAAAAGTCTCAGACGAGTATTAAAGAATAAAGTGTATCTCAGGCTGGTAGTTCACAGTTGTGACTGAGGGGCTTTGGTTTTTATTTTACAAAACATGCTCATTTCTAACATAAGAGAAACTCATTCTAATAGAATCCTTTTCCACACTCTAAAAGTCAGCAATAGTGTTATGTACTTACAGGCAGCTTTTTGTAGGCCTGTCACATTTGTATTAACCCAAATGATTCAAAAAATGTTTTACTAACTCAATCACAAAACCATATGGACAAATAAAAATTTTAATATTATTAAAAATATTTTTAAAGGTAGAATTTATTCTGCACAGGGTAAATATTTAGCTTTCAAGTTTGGATTATCAGAATATTATTTTGTATAGGCAACTCAAGTGTTAGAGGTACAAAAAGAATATTACTTGCCAAGTGAACAAAGGTTAGCTGAGTAGCATTCAAATTAAATACCTTTTCCTTTTTTGCTATGGATTTATATTGTATTAAATATGAGAAGCTCAGGACTGAACTAGTATTTATCCAGGTTAAATTCTGCATATGTCTCTGTCTTCATTTGTCCTGTCTGTAAAACTGTGCAAATGTCACACAGATTCACTCCCGTTGCTGCACTTTCCGTGTGTTTTGGGATGGAAAAGAAATTCAGTGATTTTTTTTTTAAACAAAGAATACATATTTGCTAATATTGCATTTTAACGTTGCTTATTGTTCAGTTAATTTCCCTGATTGGCACATATACAAGAATCTACTTGAACCGTGTACCCAACAAATATAAAACGTTCCATGAAGAACTCCTCCTCAAGCCAGAAATTTGTCTCAAATAGTTCTTGTTTAGACTGTGTATGTCACAGAAAAATGAGATGGGGTATTTTCATTGCACCAGAGAAACAAGGACTGGCAGGTACGGTACGTGGTCCCCCGTTACACAGCCGGAGCTGGCAGTGTGCTCCGAAAGGGGGCAGCTGTCCCAGGAGGCACTGTGCCCGGAGGCACCAGCCCTGTCCCCTGCCCCAGAGCTGAGGCAGGCAGGACATTCCACCCTGCAGCCGGGCACAGAAGCAAGAGCTCTTTTATGTGGCAGCATTCTACCTGAATCCCCAGCTTCCAAGATCGCCCTGTTCTGCTCCGAGGCATGAATGGATGTGTCTGATGTAGGGAGGGTCCATCTCACCTCCAAGTCCTTTACGGACCAAGCAGGGTTGGTTGGTTAGTTGGTTTTTGTGTGAGACCTAAGCTTCAGGAGTTATCTCAGACACCTGAAAGTGTGTGATCCGAAGTCACATCTGTTTCCCAAATGATTCCTCTCCACAAAAAGGGTCCTTTCAGACATACGGAAGTGCTCATTTACCAGTGCCCTAGATGCGGGCAGGCGCAATCACAGCCTACTTTATAAGTTTGACAAAGTTCATGCACACGAATGACTGATTACATTAGTAGGTCCTGATTCACTTGGCCTCCAAATAGAAAGCAGAAGTGCTTTAGTCAGTTGTAGGAGGCAATTCTCTTGGCAGAAGTTAGCCACAAAAGGGAAGGATGCATTTCAGAAAATCAGAAAGCACAGTAAGTAGGGGTGATTAGAGCAGATCCTACCAAGTCCAGCTGGGGCAAGGGCAGAGAGGCCACTGATCCCTCGACCTTAGATGTCTGGGTTGGTGTGTCTCAGCTCCAGTTGTTGACAGTGGTCTGGCGGTCCTGCCGCTGCATACTGGCCCGAGGCTGGAGGGGCTGGCCTGGAGCAGGCAGCACAGTGAAGCAGGCACCCTCCTAGCACCAGGCAGAAGCCAGCAAACCAGCCGAGGAACAGGGCCTCCCCAAACTCCCACCTGGGCACGATCTCGGGCACGCTCTCATCCCAGAACTCCTGAACTGTCAGGTGGGCCACCCAGGACACAGGAACCAGGACCATCACGCCCGAGGTCCAGAGCAGGACCCCTCCCGCGGTGAGCAGACGCCTCTTCAGACCCTTCTGTGTCTCTCCGAGCCTCAAGCAGTCCAGGCCACAGCCAGAGGCCAGCAGCCCCAGCAGCCCCAGCCCATTGGACAGGGACACCAAGATCCTAGAGGTCCGCAGCTCAGCTGGCAAGCCCAGGAAGGAGTCGAAATCCTTGCACTGCCTCCCTGCCTCCTCCTGGATGACGCAGGATTTCCAGAGCCCCATGGTCCAGTTTTCCATCTCGTTCAGCTCCAGGTTGAGGTTTTTCCAGTGCGGCAAGTAGTTTGTAAGGCAGGATAACGCCCATCCCAGCAGGGAGAGCAGAAGTGCAGCCAACTGCGCTGCTGTTCGGAAGACTAAGCCCATTACAACGTGCTGTGAGCCTGAGCCAGCCCCACTCCTGCCCCCAAGCTCGCTGTAAAAAGTGTGACACTTAGCACTTGCAGAGCTCGGACATAGTTTTGCATTGTGTGTCTAGGAGGACGCCTGCCAGATCTACTATTGTTTAATTCCATGTTGAAAAGGTTTCAAAAGAGGACAGGGAAACGCTGCCGTGAACCAGCAATGCTAAGGTGTGGCCCGGGCTGCGTTTGTGTCCTGTGGGCTGAATTTTGAGAAGAGAACTTTGCAGGTCAAGCCGTGCTAACCCTCTCATTGTGGTGGTTTACCTGGCTTTCACGTTCCCAGCGTTCCTAACAAGTCGGAGAATTAAGCATGAATGTGAAAAATGTTTAATTGAAGGTTTGGGTTCAGCTCCTCCTGCTTTGTGTTTTGCTAATTACACCTGTAAGATTTTCATCAGCTAAAGAGTTCTCACATTTCAGTGCGTGTGTTAGCACTGGGTGTTACCATCATGGGGGGGGGGCAAAAAAGAGGTTCAGAGAGAAGTATTTCTTAACCAAATAAATCAATCTTATCAGGGCTCCCTCTAGACTTTAAATCGGGCTGTTTTGAAAAGTCTCTTCGGCTGCACACGCTACAGAGAGCATGAGACAATGCTGAGCGGAATATGTCGGGCCTCCCTTATCGCCGAGGCCTTGTGGGCTCACGTGCAGAAGCCATGAGCACTTGTGGATTGGGCGGATTTTAGCTTCTTTGCTGAAATATGCTTTCTAGACTGCAGGAAGGTTAAGCGGTCGGGCCTTTTGTGTCAAAATCGACATCTTTGCTCAACATTCCTCTAGATAGCCCCACATTTGTCATTTTTAAATACGCAAGTTTTCATTCTGACAAATGAAATGACAGAATCTAGACAAGAAGAAAAAAATCCCCTTGGAAACTTTTTTTTTTAATTTGAAGCTTCTGAGGGAAGAGATGAGAGCAGAGACTAGCTACTACTTGACAGAAGAGGAGTCTCCAGGAGCATCCGGCCCCCCCTAAATTTTTCGTATAGTTCAACAGGAAAATCTAGGCACAAAATGCAGAGTCGCTGTGGAGGTGGCGCTAAGGGGCTGGCTTAGCCTGTGGCTCTTCTAATAAAAGAGTGCAGGTTGTTATTTTCTTTAGGAGGTGGACAGTAATCATCCTTTCCAGCTGCAAACAGCAGCACAGTTTTCTCACCAAACAAATCCATCAAAGCACTAGACTGACTCTATTAGACAGCAGTCCCCATGCCCAACCCCCAACCCCACGAACACATGGTTTAAATAACCAGATCAATGACAGGTTGTTGTTTTTTTTCCACACATAGCTATGTTTTTCAAATTCCTTATAGGTGGGCTTCCATTCAGATTTCAAAGGCAAACCTCTAGTATAGAAAAAAAGAAAAGCAATTATTGAATGAAAAAAAAATGTGAGCAACATAATTTAGTTACATAACAACATAACAGAGACCTTTTTTGCAATTGGCTAATTAAGGACAGGTCTCAGCCCTGCTGGCCGCTCTCACTCCAGGCTGTGTGGTTCCGTTCTCCAGGTACGAGCCGTGGTCTGGCGGTCCTGCCGCTGCATACTGGCCCGAGGCTGGAGGGGCTGGCCTGGAGCAGGCAGCACAGTGAAGCAGGCACCCTCCTAGCACCAGGCAGAAGCCAGCAAACCAGCCGAGGAACAGGGCCTCCCCAAACTCCCACCTGGGCACGATCTCGGGCACGCTCTCATCCCAGAACTCCTGAACTGTCAGGTGGGCCACCCAGGACACAGGAACCAGGACCATCACGCCCGAGGTCCAGAGCAGGACCCCTCCCGCGATGAGCAGACGCCTCTTCAGACCCTTCTGTGTCTCTCCGAGCCTCAAGCAGTCCAGGCCACAGCCAGAGGCCAGCAGCCCCAGCAGCCCCAGCCCATTGGACAGGGACATCACGATCCTGGAGGTCCGCAGCTCAGCTGGCAAGCCCAGGAAGGAGTCGAAATCCTTGCATTGCCTCCCTGCCTCCTCCTGGATGACGCAGGATTTCCAGAGCCCCATGGTCCAGTTTTCCATCTCGTTCAGCTCCAGGTTGAGGTTTTTCCAGTGTGGCAGATACGTTGTAATAATGGCCAGAACCCATCCCAGCAATGACAGTGAAAGCCCTACAGATTGCATGGCCGTTCTGAAGAGGAAAGCCATCTGGACAGATGCTACAGCTCTGCCACTCTATAGGATCTGCTGTCCTTTGTGGTTTTCAGGAGTGTGACGATCTTGGTCCCATGCTGCCCAGAATATAAGCTTTGGTCATTAACTCTCTGGGCCACTCTGAAATACGTTTTTGTTCCTCTTGAATATAGTATTTCATGTAAAGGGTGAAGGACTCTGTTAAAAGCCATGAGTTAGGCTTTCTGATAAGGATTTGATCTGCTAGCTTCCAATTTGCCTGGTAAAATTATATCCCCAGTGTTTGACGAGTATAAGTCTAAAGATGAACAAAGAGGTCTCTATGACCCCTCACCCTCTCACCCTAACGTACAACGGAAATCTTTGTGCTTCAATATGGATTAATTAGATTTTAAGTGGTGATAAAAGGCCAGCTCTCTCTACAACAGGACCTCATTGTAAGAGCTACATCTGAGATTTCAGGGATCGAAACAAGGCCCTGTAAAGAAAGGTAGGCTGTTTCCCCTATAACCTTTATTCTCCTCAGACATCTTTAACCTGCGTAAGAGCTTGGCCCATGTTCCTGAGTGTCACGGGGACTCCCTGGGGACTTGGCAGGAGGATTTCCTCAGATCCCTTTGAAAGTTAGAGACTGGTTCACTGTGCTAATTAAAATGAAAAGGACCCGGGTTGGTGCCCAGAGAAACTCAGTGAGGAAAGGGGCATTGTGGGAAACTCCAGCTCTCCTGCTGTTTCGCCGATCCTCGTTAGAGACACTGGGTAAAGCCTGACATCTCCGGCGACTGTTTTTGTCCACACCATTTCACCTGCAAAGGCAGAAGAGTCTCAGGCATGAAGGCGCCTGCTGGTTTCAAGACAAAAGTCTGGTATGAGAATAGTAGCCACGCCGGGCCTGACCTTTGAGGCTTCATCTTGTTGTTTTGGCTCAGGCCACACCTTGAGAACATACCTCAGGCGAGCATGACCCCTCAAAGAACACTGGGCCTCCCAGGCCAGGACAAAAGGCCGCATGCTCCAGATTCCCGGTGCTGTTCCATCTCTGGCAAGGCCCAGCCCCTCTCAGAGCACCCACACCAAGAGGACGTACAAGATCGTACAGGGGAGCCCTGCCCTGGATGAGAGTACCTCAGTGAAGGAAAACCACCCTGCTTCATGGTGCACAAGACAGGGACAGTTCAGGACCAGAGGAGATCATTCATGACGCTGATACAGAGTCTAAAACCCAGTGTATCCACAGGGAGTCTAAGAGTAGTGTTAAGGGATGGTGTTCATTTTCTGCCTTCTGCTTATATTTTCAAGGTTGTCAGTTTGAAGGGGTAGCTCAATGGTAGAGTCCTTGACTAACGTGCAAAAGGCCCTGGGTTCCCTCTCCAGCACTTCAAAATAAGGTTTGCCAACACATGATTTTTTTTTTCTTCTTTCCAGGGCCAAACATACACTAGGAAGCATGCTACCATTAAGCAGCTGTCCCCACTACTTTTTTTTTTTTTTTTTTTTTTTCTGAATCCCAGAGGCTGGATGGATGTCCTCAGTATACTGAAGCAAGACACTGAGTGTCATTGAGTATATGTAGAGGCACATGGTCCAGAAAGGGCTGACACTGGGTCAGGCACCTGTTACCAAGAGATGGGATAAGATGGGACTCAAACTCTCTCTACAGAGGCAGGGCGGTATGATGAAGGTCCAGACAGCAAAAAAAAAAAAAAACACTGATAATACATTGAAACTGTCTTCTTTAAGCTGGGCGGTGGTGGTGAACACCTTTAATCTCAGCACTCAGGTGGCAGAAGCAGGTGGATCTCTGAGTTCAAGGCCAGCCTGGTCTACAGAGCTAGTTCCAGAACAGCTAGAGCTACATAGAGAAACCCTGTCTCAGAGAGAGACAGAGACAGAAAGAGACAGAGAGAAAGAAAGAGAGAGAGAGAAAGAAAGAAAAAAAGAAAGAAAGAAAGGAAGGAAGGAAGGAAGGAAGGAAGAAAGAAAGAAAGAAAGAAAGAAAGAAAGAAAGAAAGAAAGAAAG